AAGTAGTAAAAGCCCCACAGTGACATCGAAAAATCGGTCTATAAGTAATGTACTCATCCCAAAAGCCCTTAAAAACATTGTAATATTGAGTAATAGAAAGAGATCCTTGACTAATCGTGCTGAGGGACTTTTCAAGGTGAAAAACCCTAGGACCACTACTCATAGCATATCGATTTTTCAGTTCTTCCCAAACATCTCTGGCATTTGTAAAGAAAAGCAAGGATTGCCTGATTTCTTTTGAAACAGAGTTTAATAGCCAGGATAAAACCAGATTATTCGCCCGAAGCCAAGCCATATACAACACAGGATTACCAGTAGGAGAAGGAGTCAAAATTGTACCGTCAATGAAACCTCCCTTGTTTTTCACGCTGAGCGCCATGAGGACGGTGCGAGACCAGGAGACATAATTCTCGCCATTAAAGGACTCTGCAACTATGATCGCCCTTGGATTGTCGCTAGCATGCAGAAAATACGGAGAAGCAGGATCGTCAGACGAATTCGCAACAGCAGCCATCGATGGATAATAGATCGGCGATAATGTAACAGATCGAGAAACTAGAAAAATATCTGAGATCGATGAAGTAAATCGACCAAATAGAACAGTGATAGATCGAAGATTGATAAAAAAAAATAGATCAGGTTTCAGATCTGAAAACCCTAAAAAATAGAACGCGATTCTCAAAGATGGAGAATCTTCAAAGGAGAATCAGAGTGCGGAAAACGTGTACGGCAAATTGCCGACGACTGATACCATGTTGGATTACAGATTACAGATTATGAAGATCGATGATGGAGATTATCGAGAGAGAGAGAGAAGACAGATGAAAGGAAAGATTGCTCTTGAACATAAAATCGGAAAAATGAATAATGGTGTACAATGGTGTTCAATGATGTATATATACCTAGGGTTACAGGGGGTATTAATGTAAATTACATAGAAGTCCTATAGTTGCACGCAACAACTGTACATTAATTCTAATATTACAAAATATCCTATAGTTGCTTATAGCAACTGTACATGAAATCTAATCCTAATCAATATACTAATAGTTTTTTAACCATTAATTATCTATCATAAACTAATCCACATGTGTATTTACATATTAAACTAGTATTGCATTTGCAGAAGGTATAAATAAAGTACTACAAGTTATTTGTATCCATTTAACGAAAATTTTATGGAGTCATTCATAACTTTATGTACTGACACATGTTCAATGTGCATTTATTGCATGACACGTGTCAATACATCACTTGTGAATAACTATGGATGACTCCATAAGTGGAACCATCCGATGAATCTATAGCAAAACCGATCCATTTAATATTAAAATTATAAGTTAAATAATGATATTAAATTCTAAAATATATTTACGCATATAATATTAAAATTATAAGTTAGATAATGGTATCATGTTTTAAAATTTGATTATTGGTAAAATAAATTCTACATTAATATTTATGTCACTTTCATAGATCAATTGTTGTTATAATTAAATAATAAATATCATATGATACAATAAAAAATACAATTATTACTCATCAATTAATATAAAATATTACGATTTTTGTCTTAATTAATAAAAAAAGTGCAAGGAAATATTTATTCATTAATGGGATAGGCTGAATTAATGTACTAATAATAATAATATAAATAGTAATAATAATAATAAATTGTGACAAAAAAAAGGGCAACAACAAATAGTTTTATTAAAATTTATTTGGTAATATATATATAATTAGGGGCTATCCCATTAATGCTAAATTTCTTCGTTTCCCGCTCTTTTGGGAGGGGTAAATTATGACAAAAGATTTATATTGGTTTTTTCATTGAAATATAAAAATCTAACTACGGGCCATTAATATAACGATTTAACTAAAAACTAGTACAACGTCCGTGTATTACACGGTGCTTGCTAATTTTTTTATTAAAATCTAAAATTAATGAGAAAAAGTAATTGAAAATTTCAATACCTTTTATAAAAATATATATAATATTATATATTTAGTATGACACTCTTTTATTTGTGCCTTATCTGTGTTATATTATAATATTTTTTTGACTTACAACATATAACTAAATTAAACATAAATATATCAATTGAGAAATAATTTTATTTTTCTAATGAATTTAAATAAATATTATTATTTTTTATTATTATAAAGATAAATATGATTTATTTATTTCATATATACAATATGGATGTCAAATCGAAGATCATCAAAAGATAATTAATTTGATATTTTATATATGTAAAACCGATAAGAAATACAAAAGTTATAAACTTTTAAAATACATTTACAATTCAATAGCTAATTGAAGGAAACAAATCAAAAGTCGGGGATATATTAGTCACTTAGTGTCTCACTATGTAAAATTACAAAGAATTAAAAGGTTATATTAGTAAAAGTTATATTAAAATACTTAAAATAAGTAAATAATATTTATGGAATGTCAGAACCTAGATTATTAATTATTAATATATCAATATTATTTGTCCAAACCTAATTACGAAACATGATTCTTTGCCAACTAGGATTACGAAGCACCAGAAACACAGCCACATAGACTCAGTGCATTCGAGAATAATATATAGGGAGGATATGATATATACTATTATATAAAATTTTATTTTAATTAAAGTTTTTATATATAATATTTATTTATTTTTGGTAACATGTGCATGTGCTCCTAGTTATATATATAGATATAGATGATAAAATTGAATTGTAACGATTTTTTGCGGGAAAACTGTAGAGTTTTATTAAATGTTATGTCAAACAAAAAAAATTCTATGGAGCAATCCGATTATTTTCTTATGGAGCCCTCCATAACTTAATATATTGACACCTGTCCAAATTGTATTTATTGTAGGACACGTGTCAATACACTATTGGTGAATAAGTGTAGATTGCTTCATAAGCCGAGCCATCCGATGACTCCATAGCAAAACTGTGTCAAACAATTATATATATATAAATTAATAACTTTAGAATAATTTTGTGACCGGACTGTAGTCATTCCGTAAGCTTATAAGAGAATATTATATTATTTTACTGTACCAGTCATATTTCACTACACGATTGCAGAATGCTGCTTGTATATAAATATGCTAATAATAATTATTTAGAAGATTTTTATGGTCCACATTTATACTCCTTATAATGGTATTTTCACGATTCACAAGATCATAATATGAAACAATATGATTTCGAGTGGAAATCTCGCGCTAGATGCTCCTTTATTTTTCCGTAAATTTCTTTTAAATATGTCAGAGATATTATAACAAATTATCATAATTTAATCTTAATAAAGTATAATATTACTTATAATGATTATAATTATTTACTTTCACATGTTTTCTTGATGTCATATTTTCAAACAACGAATATAATTAGTGTAATAATGTATACATGTAATAAACTAAATTATATCACAAATTCCTGCTCTTTGTTTTGATCCCGACACCTTACAATAATTTATTATTTTAATTTCTAAATTTCCACTTCTTCACATAATATTTCAAATATCATTGCGCTAAAAACTTCCAAAACCGCTATGGGACAACACTAGTCCACACAAAATCTGTGAGCATCCACAATGTTTTGGTTTATTCACAAAAATATACATGCCATATAAAAAATAGACTTAGTCAAGAAAAATATGTACTCCAATGCAAGTGCAAGTGGACTGGGTCTCGCTTATGTGGCAACAAGAAAAAGAGACCCGATCTATCCTTAAGTCTATTTTAGACCCAAGTAGAGACATAGTCTCTTTGCATTGGAGTTAAATTTGTTACTTTTTTTGTCCATGTCATTTAAGACTTAAGTCTATTAACTTACCACATAAGCATAATTAGACACAAAGCATTGTAGATGCTATGCGACGTGTAAAACCAATCCAAATTAGAATTACAAAAAAAAAAAAAAGGAAACATAATCAAATGCCAATTAACAATAATAATAACGGGAAATGCTAAGGTCCAGTTACGGAAACATTCCGTCAAAATTTTAACCGTTAGATCATTATATAACTGTCAGAGATAGTTGATCTAACGGTTACAAACTCCGACGGAATGGTTCTGTAACGGGACCGTAACATCTTCCAATAATAATAACTAATAATAATTGCAATAATTAGGTTACTTTTTCTTTTCTCATTTTTCTCAAAAATATAAGAATTTATGGTCCCAAACGACAGAAAATGCATGAGCAGATTTCCCAAAAGGTGTTTTCTCCCTTTAAAAACAGCCACATTCAGACTTCAGACACTACAAGAAATGTCAATTTTAACTAGACATTTACCTAGATCTTTGTAGGTAAAATGCTTGCTGGTAAATTTTTGTCTAGCTAATTTATAGGTAAACGGATTTAGCTAGAAATTTTTGGATTTAGCTAGAAATTGTTTTCTAGTTAAAATTGACATTTCTTGTAGTGAGAAAGATATGTAAAACATATGAAAAACATACGCATAATTCTGCTATAAGGTTTCGATCGTTTGAAAGATCATACCACTCTAATAAGATCGTTTGGAAGTACATACATGCTCGTTATTTTAACTTCTAACACCTTACAATAATTTATTATTTTCTAAATGTCCCCTTCTTAAGATAATATCATTACTTAATCCCCGCCATCACAGCCACTAAAACTTCCAAAATCGCTATGGGACAACACTAAGTCCATAGAAAGCCGCTCAATGCCAAATTACAAAACAAATCCAAATTTGAATCAGGAAAGATAACCAAATGCCAATTAACAATAATAATTATAATTTGATTACATTGTTCTTTTCTCCTTTTTTTATTAAGAAAAATACAAGAATTTATTTATGTTGATGGTAATCTACAACTCATACACCTCCAAGACCAAGACAAAAAAAAAAAAAAAAAAA